TATTTGCATGACTTCTATTTTTATTATTCATTACAATTCTTATGATTATAATAATAAGTGATTTGGAGTGCAATACAAAGAGCGTGAATGTTAAATACAAACTGATAAAAATTATGTCGGCTGGGGTAGTGTTTGCCATTAATACGAATTGTGTAGTGGAAAAAGTGTTTCAAATCACTTTAGCATTAGCAAAGTTCCAAATTAAGCAAATTTCTTTTTGTATTGACAATGCAAATATGGTAATTAAAATCATTTAATTATTGAATGCTATTTGAAATGATAGGTCTAATAGGTGAGAGCTTTTTTTAAGCAAGTATGAAGTTAAAACAACGTGAAAATTTTAGAAGATAATGACCTTGGGTTGTATGAATAAATAAAGTAGAAGATATTTTATTCAACAAATATGAAATCAATAACCATCAAATTTAACATTGCCGTTATTGGGTTCCAAGACCTAAATGAGAAAAATAGAGGATTGCATATGTCGTCAGCCAGTTTAAAACTTATCGAATAATTACGACATGAATCATTTAAAAAATTGTGTGAATGATGCGGTGTTCCTTGTAAGCAACGCGTTGTATAACCCGAATGCAAGAAAAAGTGTGCAAGGGTCGTTGCTCCTACACCTAAGTGCAATGTTCAATAAGGGTTCCCACATCATGGACAAATGTGAGCAAAGAAACTAGCCCATGAAACAAGACTTATGATAGAAACTTTGAATATATGAATAAATTAATGAAATTAATAAATATTATAATTTAAAAGAAGATAAAAATTCTATGTATGCAGGAAACTAAATTTGTTGGAGAAAAAGCAAAAGATTTATAGTTTAAGATTTAAATAGTGATATTCGGGTATGTGTCATATATTAGAAATGTAAATCTGATTATAGATAATAATTTGAATGATAACATTACAGAAATTAATAGAATTGAAAATTAGAAATAAAGCAATAAAGATTATTGTTAAAGCTAAGATTATTAATATTATAAGTATTTATACTCCTATGTAGGTTTGAATGAGTGTTAAAAATTAAATTTTGAAATGACTTAGAAGAGTTAAAATAAATGATACATCTTAAAGATAAAATTTTTATTGTAGGAGATTTAAATAAACATGTTGGTAAAGTGGTAGAAGATTTTAAAAGCATTTATAATGATTATGAGTTTGAAGTAACTAATGAAAGTGATAGGACCATTTTAGATTTTGCTATAACCGATGGTTTTATAAATTTTAATATATTTTTTAAGAAAAGAGATGAGCATCTCATCACTTAGAAGAAAAGATATGAAAACTTGAAATGATAATTTTCTTATAAGAAAAATATATCACTTTGATTGCAATGAATGTAAACTGTAAAGTCATTCCGAGTAAAGGTTTATGTGGCCAGCATAACTTATTAGTTTTGAACTTTAAGATATAAATGGAATGTTAAAAAATAAAATCAAATGTTGTCCTCATATTAGTGGGGGAATTTAAAGAATGCTAATAAAATTATTTTTCAAAGTAAGATTCAAAATTTCAAGATTTTGGTGGCTCATGAGAAAGCTAATATTATGTGGAAAAAAATAACTAATGATATTAAGAATGTTGCAAAGTATGTGCTTTGATTATTAAAAGAAAAAATATAAATAATATAAATAATTCGTGATGAAATAAAAATGTGCAAAAAAATATAAAAAATATAAAACTTTATTCTAAGAATTTGTTTAGGAGTAAAAGCTCAAAAAATTGGAAAAAAAAAATATAGTTGGGCTAGTAGGAAGTCTAAGAAAGTAAAATATATAGTTGGGCTAGTAGGGAGTCTAAGAAAGTAATATGTGAAGCAAAGAATTTAACTTTTAATAATTTATATGGAAAAATACCAAAATGTTCCTTTGACTCTTTATGAATGATCAAAATGGTCCCCAGCTCTATAAAGAACCATTTTTGTATCTTAACTCGTTAAAAATGAACCAAAACAATCCCTCCATAGAACTATTTTGGTTCCTCTTATAGGATTTGAGGGACTAAAATGATCTTTTAATATAATTGGAGATAATTTTGATCCTTCATAAAAAGTTAAGGGACTATTTTGATCATTTCCTCATGATTTATATAATAAATTAGATATTAACGAGGGTGAAAGATGTATGCATAAGTTGGCCAAGCAAAGAGATATGAAAAATAAAAATCTAGTTCAAGTGAAGTGAATTAAGGATGAAAATCAAAAGGTATATCTTAAAAGAGGATATTCAACATAAGTGAAATAAATATTTTGATAAACTTTTCAATGAAGATTATGTAAATACGATTAACTTTAGTGACTTTAGTACCCTATATGAAAATAGAGATTTTTTTTATATTATCGTATTAGTAAAACGGAAGTTAGAGATGCTTTGAATAAAATAAATTGTGAAAAAGCATGGGAACTAATGATATTCCAATAGAGGTGTGGAAATGCTTGGGAGATCAAGAAATTTCTTAGCTTACAAAAATTTTCATATTATTTTGAATACTAAAAAGATGTCAAATAAATGGAGGAGTGTGTCTATTTTTAAAAATAAAGGTGATGCACAAGGGCGTGTGAATTATAAAGGAAATAAGTTAATGTGTCATATATTAAAACTACGGGAGAGGGTAATTGAGTATAGGTTTCAAATTGATACTAATGCTTCTCAAAATTAGTTTGGATTCATGCAAAGTAGGTCTACTACGGAAACTATATAATTATTGAGAGGTTTGATGAAGAATAAAGAGAGCAAGGAGGATCTACATATGATATTTATTGATTTAGATAAAGCATATGATAAAGTTTCAAGAGTGCTATAGAGATTAGAGAGTTTTAAAAAAGAAAGGAGTTAATAATGCTTATATTCAAGTCATTGTGTATATGAGATGTTACTTGTGTTCACACACAAGGTGGTTTGAGCAAATGTTTTCCTATTTCAATTAGATTACATCAAGGATCAACTCTAAACCCATATCTTTTTGCTTCAGTGATGGATAAAAATATTTGCAAGAGGATGTACCTTCGTGTGTGCTTTTTGGTGTTGATATTCTTCTTGTTGATAAGACTAGAGAGTGAGTTGAAGGAAAAATTGAATTATGGAGGTCAACCTTTGAGTCTGAAGGTATCTAAAATCGAATACATGAAGTGCAATTTTAGTAGTAATAGATATAGTGGTGAGATTGTGACTTTGGGCAAAAGTTATTAAAAAGAGTGCACGCTTTAGATATCTTGAGTCTATTGTTCAAAATGATGGTACCATAGATGATGATATTATTAGTAGAATTCAAGTTTGGATGGTTGAAGTGAAGAAATGCATGGGGCCTATTGTGTGATAGAAAACTACAGCTCAAACTTTAGGCGAAAATTCTATAAGCAGATGGTGAAACTGACAATGCTTTATGGAACTGAACATTGGCCATTGAAAGAAAATCATAAATTAAGTGTTACAGAGATGAGGATGCTCAGGTGGATGAGTGACTTTACATATAGAGATAGAATGTCAAACAAGTATATACGTAAAAAAGTTGGAGTAGCTCCGGTGGCAAATAAAATTTGAGAGAGACACCTTAGATGGTTTGGTCACATAAAATGTCGTCCTTCTGATGACCCAAATAGGATAGTAGATGCACTAAGTCTGACCTATGTTAAGAAATGTAGATATAAAAGACTTGATTAAAAAGTATTATAAATGACCTTTTTTCTTAGATTTAAATGAGAATTTAACTCCTAATAGGGCACACTGGAAAAAATAATTCATGTAGCCAACCCCACATAGTGGGATAAAGGCTTGATGTTGTTGTTGTTGTTGTTGATTAGCATTACCTAAATATGATAGATTGATGTACTTTGACTTTATTTACAAAACAAAAGGGATACTCTTGAGCATATAATTTGTTTTAAATTGAAATTCAAAGCTTCAAAAGCACTATGGAATAAGGGTAAGACTTACTGGTATATCTCAAAAAAATAAACCAACTATATTTCATAGATTCAAACCATTATGAAACAAATAGCTACTCAAAAACATGTAGAATAGTAAAAGTGAGAATTCTAACAAGAATGAACAAGTAACAATAGGAAGAATATAGAAAGAAATAATTAAATAGGGAAAATGTAGGAGTAATATATATTACGGATAACATAGTGAAAAATAAATTATGGTATTTTGAACATGTAAAGTTGAGGGAACAAGATGTTCCAAAAAGTTACATAATGTTAAAAGTTAAGAGAGAAAATGAGGTTGAACAGCCATACCTCAGTTAAAAGGTGAATAAGAAAATTTGATTAAAATAGAATGTATGACTCATGCAGCAATCAATAAGAATGGCGGAGCAATTCACATCCGAGGCAAATAATTAGAAGGAAGCCAATGATGATAATTATGATAACTAAAACAACATGAGTGCAAGAACATGTAATATTGAATGGAAGACGCAAAGGAAAGGAGTGAAAATAAGGCCATCAATGTTAGATATTTCATATTAATTAAAGTTGATAAATTAGCAAGCTGCTAAAATACCCTAAATACAAATTCATTAAATAAAAAGTATAGTATATTAGCTCCCCTAACACAAAACAATAACTTCAACCATGCTCTTTAGATGTTCCATATCCCCCGTTGATAACAAAAACAATTGCAACGACAGAATATGTGAGAAATCAAACCTATGAAATTTTACAGTTATCAAATGGACACGAAATTCATCATTACATTTTCCAGTCATCATAACATAGTTCGCATGCAAAGGGGCCGAATAATTGAAGTCATTGGACCATAAAAACAAAAATAAAACTAGAAATCAATATTTACGTTTATCCGCGTACTACAACTTAAAAAAACAATCAGAACCAAGTTTAAATAAACAAAACTAAAAAAATAACTAGAACAAGAACCCATGAACCTTAAGCAACAGAAAAGATAAGGACGCGGGTTCTAATCATTAAAAAACTGTAATAATAAAAAAAAATGACAAGCAAACAAAAGTCAAAAATAGAAAGATCTACAGACCAGGATTAGGTCGAAGAGGGTGGCCTGGTCAACCTTCACAAAATCAGCGTCCCAATTCTTGAGCTCCTCTTCGATAGGCTTGTCGTCGACACTACCAGTTCCAGAGGGCTTTGACACAGATTCGACGTGCTTCTTGCAGTACTCGATGACCTTCGCGAGTATCTTGCTGTTGACGTTGGGTAGAGGGATACCACTATCAGCGCATCCATCCTCAATCATGTGCAGAATCGTCTGCGACTCCCTAGCCACCGCTTCTTCCACCACGAACTCCTCGCCATCTGAGCTCTTCAGCGTTACCTTCATCGACATCTCTTCCGTCTCGTTCAGTAGATTTCAATCTTGGACAGATTAGCAGGATTGCAGAGATAAACAAACCCTAGACGTTTCGGGAACGCGAAGTAAACAACAGCCGCGGAATGGCACATATTTATAATGGAGATATATCTAAATGGGGAATTTTTAGAAGGAACGGATAAGATAAATTAGAAATTAGATTTTTTTTTTATTATTTAAAGAAAATTAAGTTAGCACAGATAGATCGCAGACGGGTGGGGTAGCAGTGGCTGGCCTTTTTTTTTTTTTCTTTTTTGAGAAAATTGAGGGAAATCTCATTCTCATTGATAAAAAATAGTTACATGTGTGATAACTGTTACAATTTGAAATGAATATATATATAGAAAAAAAAGCTGCAATCCAAGAAATAGAGGCTCCAACACTTAAAAAGCTAAAATAAAACTACAAGATTTTAAAGAGAATAATAGAAGTCCCAAACGAGGACTCATAAATGGCAAAATATCAGCAAGATCAATAATCTTAGAGAAGGGTGTTAGGAAATACTTGAAGATCTCAAGTGAAACCTAACAATTTTGACAAAAAGAGCGAGAAACCTCCACAATTTCAAGAAAAAAATCAGAAAAATAGTAATTTTTATTGCAATAATCAAAGATAACGTAACAAAAATATCAAGATACAATCGATCCTCAATTCGAGAGGAGGGTATATCTCTCCCAATTCCTAGACGTCGCTAGAGCCCAAGAAACTAAACTCCAAGAATGAAAATAACCACAATATTTTACATAATCATAACCCTACTCTTTTCTTCCTACTTAAAGCATACAATTAAACCTCCTAAGCTAAATTACTCCTTAGCCATAGCCGCCCCTCCCTTCCTAATTGGATTCATGAGTGGGAACCACCCATGCTTGGGCGGCAAAATCAAGAGGGGGGAACCTACTTGGTCCGCCTCTTGTACACTTGGGCCGGCCCCCCGCCAAGGGCCGGCTGGATCGGTCCAACATCGACCGGTCTAATAAAGGGCTAGACCTTTGGTTACTAGGGACGACCTTCAAAGACAAGATAGTTGGTTGCCAAGGATGACCTTCCAAGGGACCAGTATCCAAGTGTATGCCAATCGTCATTGTCCATAGTCGGCCAATTAACAGAATCACACCAGAGCTAAAAGAGAAGACATCTTGCAAAGATGACCACAAAAACAAACTGAATGAAGCCCACCAAAAATCCTGAAGAAGATCAGGACGTACAAGGAGAACCCATCATATAAACAACAAAGGCTACATCATCCTAGAAAGAGTAAACTCAAATAATAAGATTGCTGTGGAAGCAACAATACAAAGAACAGAGAACAAGGAAAAACCAATGGAACAATAATTTGCTTCAGCAAATGTTTTCTATTGTCAAAAAGTTGTTTCTTCCCCTCTTCCCCTACCTCATATATGCAGGTGGAATTCTACTAAAAGCTGAAACATAAGAAAAGGTGCATAATTACTTTGATACTAAAACAAGTACTACGGTAGTGAAAAGATATAATTCTAACGGTAAAGAGGCAGTGCTTCCCTGTCTACCTGGCAAGCTGCGGCTTTCCCATGTGGAGCAAGGAATATTCCACATCAGTTCACCCCTGCTACAGGAAGATTCATATCCGATGAATCAATTTCAGTGTTTGTCGAGTCAGGCGGGTAGTAATGGCTAATGTTGGCGACATTGAAAGTAGAGGATGTGAGGACATCGGATGGTAGTTCCACCACGTACGCATTATCGCTGATTTTATGTTTGATGGCAACGGGACCGAGCTTCTTCGGAGCCAGTTTAGAATAAGTTCCCGTCGGCTGTCTTTCTTTCCGCATCCTTACCATGACTAAGTCTCCAGGTTGTTAAGACTCGTTTGCTGTTTGTAGGCTCCTTCGGACGTTCTCCAACATACTTTTGAAATCACCCGCCATCTTTGTTTCCACGGCATTGTGACATTTAGGCAGAACGGCGAGATCTACAATGTGATTAGGAGGTTTAGTGTAGACAATATTGAATGGGCACATACCAGTTGAACGATTAGGCATAGAATTGTAAGCGAACTCCACCTGGCTTAAGATTTCATCCCACTTCCTCGGGTTGTCCTGCACCAGACAACGCAACATGTTGCTTAAAGTACGGTTCACCACCTCCGTCTGGCCGTCCGTTTGAGGATGATAGGTGGAACTCAGCTTGAGTTCTGTACGTAGTTGTTTCCAGAGCTCCCTCCAAAAATGACTAATAAACTTGACATCTCGGTCCGAGGTAATACTCATCGGCAGCCCATGAAGCCGAACCACTTCCCTGAAGAACAGACGTGCAATGCCAAGGGCGTCCGAGGTCTTCTTGCACGATATGAAGTGGGCCATTTTGGAGAACCTATCAACCACCACCATGATAGAGTTGACGCCCTTCTTTGTGCGCGGCAAACCGAGCACGAAATCCATGCTCAAATCTTCCCAAATGGAAGTCGGTACTGGTAGCGGGGTGTACAGGCCTGTATTCTGGCTGTGGCCTTTGTATACTTGGCATACCGGGCAGTTTTGTACAAATCTGGAAACATCTCTACGCAAGTGTGGCCAAAAGAAACGAGCTTTCATCTGGTCGATTGTTTTCTCACGACCCAAGTGCGCCGCCATTCCCCCGCTATGCATCTCCTGAATCAGTTGTAACCGAACAGATGAGGCGGGCACACAGAGAGAGTTTCCTTTGAACAAAAATCCATGCCTTAAATTGTAGTCATCAATTGGTTGTCCGGCTGAACACTTGGCCTAAGGTTCCGCAAAATCCTGATCAGTACCATACAAGTCCTTAAGGGCCTCCAAGCCTGTGATTTCCGTTTGGAGCTGGATCAGCAACGCCGAATGTCGGCTCAATGCATCGGCCACTCTGTTTTGTTTCCCAGACTTGTGCTTGAGGAAAAAGCTGAACTTCTGTAAAAGCACAATCCATCGGGCGTGCATTCTATTAATACTCTTTTGCGAATTTAAGTATTGAAGTTCCTGATTATCGCTGCACAACACAAAATCGCTATGCAATATGTAGTGTTCCCACTGCTTGAGGGCCTGAATTACCACATAGAGCTCTTGCTCGTATGCCGACCACTTTTGTCTGGTCGGGCTGAGTTTCTCACTGAAGAACTCCACTGGCCGATCTTCTTGTGACAGCACGGCACCAATGCCTATAGCTGACGCGTCTGTGTCAACGTGAAAAGGCTTTTGAAAATTTGGCGCGGCCAAAACTGGAGCTGTCGACAGCGCCTCCTTAGTGGTTTCGAAACTGCGCTGCTGTTCAGCCCCCCACTTGAACTAGTTCCCTTTTAAACAGTCAGTAATTGGCGCGGTGATTAGGCTAAATCCTCGAATGAACCTTCTGTAAAAATTGGCCAACCCCTGAAAACTGCGAACCTCAGTGAGGGAGCTGGGCGTTGGCCACTGCTGGATTGCCCTTACCTTATCTGGATCAACTGCTACTCCTTTGGCCGAAACCACAAAGCCCAGAAAGCGTACTGACGAAGTGGCGAATTCGCATTTGGCACTGTTTAAATACAGTTTATGGAGACGAAGTAACCCCAATACTTCCCGCATGTGTTTCCAATGGTCTTCAATTGTTGGGCTAAAAACCAAGATGTCGTCGAAATAAACGACACAACATTTACCCAACAGTGGCTTCAAGACGTCAGTCATAAGCCTAAGAAATATGGCTGGTGCATTGCATAGCCCGAAGGGCATTACACGCCACTCGAACAAACCATGCCGCGTCTTAAACGCAGTCTTCCACTCGTCGCCGGCACGGATGCGGATTTGATGATACCCGCTACGCAAATCCAATTTTGAAAACACCTTGGATCCCTCCAAATAATCCAGCATATCCTCCAATCGAGGTACCGGAAATCTATATTTCACCGTAATTTTGTTGATTGATCGGCTGTCAATACACATCCGCCACGAGCCGTCTTTCTTCGGGACGAGCAAGGCGGGAACGACGCATGGGCTCAAACTGGGTTGGATAAGCTGCTTGTCCAAGAGTTCATTAATGATCTTTTGTAGCTGCACGTGCTCCGTCAGGCTCATCTTGTAGTGAGGAAGGTTTGGCAATGTGGCTCCAGGTATAAAATCTATCTGATGTTGAATGGCTCGCACGGGAGGTAATTCATTTGGCAAGCTAGCCGGCACAGTATCCGCAAATTCCTTCAAGATTGATTGTAGTTCTGGGGCATAACAGCTGGGAGTAACAACTTCATTTGCCTCAGCCACTATAACAGCAACCAAAGTCTTCAATTCTCGCCCATGCTTCAATAGAGAATTCCCGGTAACAATGCACAAGGCAGGCTTGGGATCCACTTCTTCGTCAACGGCACGCAGAGGAGATGGAAGCAAACGCAATTTTCGCCCTTTCCATTCGAACAGGTAAGCATTAGCCCTTCCATAATACATCACGCCCGTGTCAAATTTCCATGGCCTACCCAAAATTAGGTGACATACATCCATGTCAAGGACATCACAAAGAACTTCATGGTTATAATGTTTCCCGATAGAAAAGCTGATCCTGCACATCTCGGTTACTTGTACATCTATGCCCTTCTTAACCCAACTAATCCTATACGGATTTGGGTTTTTGGTGGTTTTAAGTTGCAGCACTTGAACCACCGCTCGGGAGACAATATTTTCTGTACACCCGTTATCAATGAAGAGATCGCAGACTTTACCCTTTATCGTACATTTGGTTTTAAAAATCGCGTGACGTTGCGATTTAGTGTCTTGGGTCGAATCCAACAGCAATTTCTGCAGCACACAAACAACCGGTTCGCCCTCATCGGCTGCCACCTCTTCATACTCCTCTTCATCACCAGCGTCTGCCTGATCCACATTAGGATCGGATTCCCCCTCCATGAGTTGCAATTGTTGACGACTTGGGCACTCATTTGATTTGTGGCCTGGCTGAAAACACCTAAAACACTTCAATGTTGTGGGTCTTCCATAGGGATTGTCCCTTATAGGTGCCTTAGACTTGTTATCTCCATGCGGTGTGTGAAGCGACGCTCCTGTGGATCAAACCCTTAGACATAGTCTTGGAACTAGTTGTTGTAGGTGTCCCCTGCATCCGAGAGTCAGACGGAAACGTATCACTCGAATTCCGCCGCTGATAGTGTACCTTGGCCGGTCGGTTGAGCTGCATTTCGGCTTTCAAAGCAAAATTGACGGCCTGAGAAAGCGACCATACAGAATTTAACTCCAATTTATCCTGGATAGCTTCCCGCAGACCGCCTATGTAGCGAGCCACAATTTGATTTGTGGATTCGTTTAAGTTGTTGCGAGCGCTGAGACGGTAGAACTCTTCTGTATAGTCACTTACGCTGCGATGTCCCTGTGCACAATGCTGAAATTTCATGTATAGAATTTGCTCGTAGTCCGTGGGCAAATAATGGCTTCTTAACAGTTGTTTCATCCTTGCCCAGCTTCGAACATTGCCTCTGCCTTCGCGGTTGCGTGCTTGTAACAGCTGCTGCCACCACGCACTCGCGCCGCCTCGCAGACGACATGCTACATACTTCACCTGCTTCTCCGGGTGAACGTCCATGTACTCAAAGAACGTTTCTACTGAATGCTCCCAATCAAGAAAATCTTCTATGTGCAATTTTCCATCAAAAAATGGGATATCCATTTTTACCTTAAACTCACCTTGTTGTCGCGTCCAGACGTCCTGGCGATGTCTCAGTGGCGAGAAATAACGCGGTATTTCTTCTTCGCCAATATCTGAGTTGTTTCCCTGGGGATAACATCCGACCTCCACGTCTGAATCCGTCAGCTTCGCCGCATTCAGCATCTCATGCCGAGCTCGCCGACCTCCTCGCCCTCGATGTTGCGCTGGTCGGTGTGTGGGAGACGTGATCCTGTGCGGCAGATGGACATTGCCGCCATTGATCTTGATACTTTGGATTTCTAGCCGCATCTCTGTGACAAAACGCCGGAACTCCGTCTTAAGCTCCGCCAGTTGCTGGACGATCTGGGCCTGCGTTGTCTCCAGAGAGCCTTCGCCTTGATCGCCGTCAAGAACGGGTCGTCTACTGCTCTCCGCCATTGCCGACTCCTCCCAAGCTCTGATACCAGCTTGCTGTGGAAGCAACAATACAAAGAACAGAGAACAAGGAAAAACCAATGGAACAGTAATTTGCTTCAGCAAATGTTTTCTATTGTCAAAAAGTTGTTTCTTCCCCTCTTCCCCTGCCTCATATATGCAGGTGGAATTCTACTAAAAGCTGGAACATAAGAAAAGGTGCATAATTACTTTGATACTAAAACAAGTACTACGGTAGTGAAAAGATATAATCCTAACGATAAAGAGGCAGTGCTTCCCTGTCCACCTGCGGCTTTCCCATGTGGAGCAAGGAATATTCCACATCAAAGATGCTTAATGTCATGATATGAGCTCCACTTAAAGACATTAGCATGAGTAGTATTCTTAATGAGACGACAAACAATCAAAAGGCAATTAATATTCCAAATAAGCCTTTTATTATTCATAATGAACAGCATGTAGACAAAGATAGAAGTTGTTTAGCACGCTTCGTTGAATTCATAGTAGAAATATAATTCAAAACTTTTGTGTAAGTTTGGTCTGAAAAGAAAACTACTCAGAGCAGGCAGTAGGGGGAAGATTAGGGAGAAGGTGAAATCGCACTCAAAGAAGAGGTGGTTGTGATTCTCATAAGCTTGAAAGCAAAAAATACAAGAGGAAGGGGCAACTTGCTAGGAGACTGTCAGCTGCATTAAGGCCTTGAAGCATGGTCATCCATGCATAATAAGTGTAGCTGATAGCAAATCTTTTTGCAAAATGTAATTACACCAATCCACCTATTACTTCAAGTGATCATTATTTAACTTCACATTCAAAGGCTGCAAGTATAATTTTAATTAGTGGTAGTGGATAACACTCCTCACAACTTATAACTCTAAAAATATGTAAGGTAGGGGATCAATTATGTTGTGAGGTTAGGTTAGGTTGGGCTTGATGCGGTGCTTACTATTTGGATATTATATATTATATTTCAAATTTGTCAAATAACATGATAAATCTTTGAATTTCATCAGAGTAATAAAACTATCATATAAATGATTAAAAAATATTAGGTTTATAGAAGTTAAACCAATTTCAAGAAATCTTGTTGATGTTGTTTTGATGTACTTTCTGATTCTGCAAATCTTTAGGATTTTATGTTTGATATCAAAATTTATGGGGTGTTTGTGGAGTTTTGATAGGGGCTCTCTTGAGGTTGGGGTGTGAGGATGAGTGGCTACAGTGAGGAATCTTGGGACGGCTATCAAGAGAGTGGACTAAGGAGATTGAAGTGTTGGATGAAAATGAGCATGAGAGGTGCGAAAGGTTGAGGAATTATTTGGAGAGGTTAGGTGGCATGGAAGGATCGGTTATGATTATATTATGAAATTGTTATGATATAGGATTGAGGTTTGGAGGTTGGTGATGATCGGATTTTGAGTGCAGAAGCTTGATGACAATGTTTGTATTGAATTAGAGTTTATGAAAGAGGAGATCCACTAACAACTGTGAAGTATACTTTTTGCAAAGGAGGCTGAGAGCTTGTGAGAAAGTAAAGGGAGCAAGTGAGTGAATGAGAAGGAGATACAACGAGTACACACTGACAAGTATGAAATAAAAAATACAAAAAAGATCATCATTAAAGGATGTCAACGGTTGATCACCATGTCAAATCTTAAGATGAAGATGAACTCCATTTAAATTTTAATTCCAAAACAATCAAATGCATTGTTTTCTCTCACGTTTGACCTTCCCTCTCAATACAATTCAAATTTAAACAAGAGTGGTCATTAGTTTTATGGAATAATGGTTGACAATTCTGATTAAAAGAGATTGGAGATAGTCGCAATAGATATTGGCTGACTATTTACATTTAAGGGGAACTTGACCTTAAAATTTGAATTTGATGATTTTTTTTTTTTAATTTCCTCCATAGTGGCAAACTAAATTACTTGGTATTTGCACAAAGTGGATAGCTATGAAGCCACATTCATCACATTACATAGGGTGAGTTTATTGCATTAATATTACACAAAAATTTAGCGCGCACATACTAATAAATAGATTGGCTCAATAATAGCACAGATTTTTTACAAGAAATTTTTTAAAAAGGGAAAAATCAAAGGATCTAGCCCACTCAAAATAATTATATTATCTAGATTAAAAAATACACTGATCTGCATTTCCTTGTCATTAGAGAAGGCAAGATTACAAGACATTGTTATTGGCTAGTATAGATCAATGATGGAAGATGATAGATGTTGACTTTATTTAATAGTGGGTGACGACGAACGTTGATAATGGTTACAGGTGTAAACGAGTCGATTATTTGTTTAATCGAGCTAAATTTGTTTAGTTCTTACTGAGCTCGAACTCGACTGTTTAAAAAAATTATAGGCTCGAGCTTAGCTCGATTGCTCAGCCTTGTTTGGAAAGTTCGGGCTTGACTCAATTATTAAGCTCAATTTTTTAGTTTTAAATTAAAATTTTCAAAATTTTATGAAAATTTTTATTTTTTATATATAATTAATTTCAATTAAATTTTAAATATATTTTAAGTTAATCAAGCAATTGAACTAGCTTTCAAGTCAATCCAAATTGAGCTCATGTATAGACTTGAGCTCAAACTCATAGCTTGATAAGCTTGACTCGCTCAAGCCAGCTCGCAACTCGGCTCGACTCAATTACACTCCTAATAATGGTAGACGACTGCTATGGATAACGCTCGTTGGAGGTGGGCATTAGTGGCAAGAGATAATGTCTCTTGCTACTGATGATCACCTTCAACAAGTATAATGACAGAGTCAGAAATTTTTTTAGGAGCAAAAATTATATTATTTTTAAAATATTTCTCAAAGTTTTTTATCCAAAGTTGAGGCCAATTGAAATACGGCATTTTTTGATTTCCCTGCATTTTGGAGTGAAAAATGACATTTTCGGTTGGAGATGCCCTAATGCGTAAGCGAAGAGTCGAAAAATTAAATTTTGTTTTTCTTTATGTTATATATTGCGTGAATGGAGCTGAGAATAAATTATTAAATACTTTTATACAAAATTAGAAAAAATAAATTATTAAATTTGATAAAATTTATTTTTAAAACTATGATATACTTCTAATCGAACTTCTTAATGAACTTATTCAAGTGATAAATAATATTGTTCATGAACATAAACGAATAGAACGCCAAATTATTTCAACTCTTTTATTTAACTATCTAGTATTTATTAAAAATATTCAAGTTCATTCATTTATCTTGTCAAACGAACATGAACCAAACTGCAAACGAACATGAACCAAACGCACTTGGTTCATTTGCTGCTTAAACATCCATTTGGAGCGACGCAGCTCCTCCCAATAAAAATAGCTGTAAAACTATTATAATAAAATGAAAAGTTCTAAAAATTATTATAATCATTACAATTTTTTTTGGGGAAAAAATCAACCAATAATTTTTTTTACAACTTAACTAATTTTCTGAAAAATAGAAAAAAAATATTGAAATAAAACGGTAGTAGCTTTTTAAAAACAAAGTGCAAAAGAGAGAAAATTAAAGAAATTGGAGGCGTATGGGGAAAAAAAGAGAAATAGAGTAAACCAGTAGATACAGAAAAGAAAGTAAATAGAAAAAAAAAACAATTTTTGACAATTTTTTTTCACTGTATGGAGCATTTCTCAGCCCCAATTAAGACACCAACAAAACCAAATATCATTCCTTGCAGTAATTAAGATAAAAGAATCGGACAATGCTAACAGGTAAGAATTTAAAAATCTAAGTCCTCACAAATTCTTTCTTGTACTTAGAATTGTAGGCAAGAGAAGAGAAAATGCATATTAGAGATATAGGCTTCATTTGAGACAGCTTTCACACTGCTTTATAAAACAAAATTTTAATCCAACAAATTTTGAAAAAAAAAAAATATACTAAAATTTTGTTTTATAAAGCAGTAAGAAAGCTGTTCCAAACGAAACCATACTGAGCTATACTGGTTTAATGCATTCTGTATGTAAGTCATATATCCAGAAGCGTCTAGAATGATCAATATCCATAGGTTAAAAGGAGTTGTTCAAGAAGACCATACAGCAAGCAAACAGGACCTTGAGTTGTGCAAATGATGCCTGAACCTATAACATATTGACAATGTTTATGCTCAAACACTCTCACTACTCAAATCATGTGGATAATACAGAGGGGGGAGCACCTAAAATGTACAATTTTATACTTGGTAAGTATGGAAAGGAATAGGAGAAGGTTCTAGATGAGATGCCACAGAAAGCTGTTGGATACCTTAGTGTAGAGCTGATAGAAAAGCTGAGGCAGCTTTGCTTTTACAAATGTTACTTCAAGATTCCATATATTGAGAGGTTGGGGGGCTTATTTTTGTCTTCTCCCTGCCTGCATATATAACATTTAAAGATAAGTAAAATAGCTTTGTCTTGGTTGTAGTATTTAATCGGTAAGGTTTCATTTGGGAAGACTTTCTTCTTGCTTTCTAAAACAGCTTTTTAATACAAAAATTCATGAAAAAGCCATTTTCAAAAACAAAATGAAAGCTGTCACAAACAAAGCCTAAATATGTAAGCATTCAATAATATAGAAGACTGAAGATCAGATAACACCAGACATAAAACCACATTAATGGAGCTTATAGTCAATCAAAATGTCTGATTAGTCATACCATAAGCTCCTCGTATCTCCACCTCGCGATATTCTTGAACAAGGGCACAACAACAGCACATAAGATGTGATAGGAAATCATCACATAGCCCTCCCTTGACAAGGAAAATAAATACCATATCAGAAATACTTGGTCAATATTTGAGTAAGGCTTCGTTTGGGAAGTCTTATTTCCTTCTTCTTAAAGCAGCTTTTTAGTACAACAGATAATTTTTTTATATTAAAAAGCTGTTTTAAAAAGCATTAAGAAAGCAGTCCCAAACGAAGCCTAAGATTCACAACAAAAAACGCACTTGCTTTACACATGGATCCTTCCTTTCGGTAAATTTCAAATCAGAGAAAGTATCAATTTTTGCAGAATCCCTAAAGAGGTAATGTGTGAATTATCATTACCGTGATGTTCAACACTTTGCGAAGTTTCCTTCTGACACAACATGTGTAGCAGCAACACGATAAGATTAACGAATATGCCATTAGGTCATTACAGGCATCCCCTGCAGCTGGTTACACCAACGCATTACATACTTATGTATATGTATATATATTTGCAGAATGTTAGCAAAAGTATTACATACTTATGTGCCTGTTTTTAGCAGCTGACGCAATCCTTGAAAAGGTTCCACAAGGGTACATGCATGTCTTGAAACCTGAAGAGTACAAATGATACTGTGATTTCAAGCATAGAAAGCAAATAATTGCTTGTTGAGGACTCAAAACGCAATATAGCTCAAATTCATACATTAATAAGAATCCTTACAAAGATCAAGAATAAAAAAAAAATCTACTATGCATGCCCGATCCAGCACGTGACAATTCAGCAAACTGGTTTATAAGCAGGAGGCCTGAAAAGGTCCATAGTATATGCCATTCAGGATTTTCAAGTCATTAGGCTTGCATGTAGAACAGCAAATTCCCAGCATGCCTTTTGCTGAAAATAAATTGGTTTGTTAGGATTCGAACCTCACCTTTCAAGTTGCCGATTTCATTTCTAAAAACTTTCAGCACTCAATGAGAACAGAACAGCACGACAGCAAAAGCAGGCAAATGATTCCTGCGGTTTGTATTTTGTATTAAAATAGTAAGTTGCTTATAACCATCTACTTGCCCTATATTTATAAAATCAACAGGGATCTATTTTAGTACGCTAATCAATACAATAAATGTAATAAACACACACATGTGACTATATGCACTAAAGTTGATATTAGTTAAAGTATTTCAGATTATAGAAGATATCAATGAAGATCCTTTAGAGATCTTCTCTTCACTGCATTGGCATACAGCTGTAAGTGCTTTTTTATCTAGTTTTTTGTGTTGCGGTTTTCCACTCCCCCTCAAATTGTGGGCTCCGAAAATTCCATATGTGTGATCTCGGCCTCTCCGCGCCATCCGTCTATTTTTCTTTTAAAAAATTTGTGTGACGATGAAGGCGATAAAGAGTTTTAACGAGATTAGGTTCCGGGTGAATTTTCAGAAGGCAGATTGGGTTTTAGATAAGACACTACCCAGAGATTACGCCCTCATTTGGTGAGGACTTTTTGATCTGAGTTCTGGTTTCCTATAGGGGCAAGCCCCTATAGTTAATTACCCCTCCCAATAATAGGAGAGAACTTTTGATTAAGGCTAGTCGTAAAAAAGATCAAATAGGTTATAAACCTATCGTATAATAGCAACAATTTTAGAGTTTAAATTTTGAATTTGGAAGTTGGAAATTTGGAATTTAGAGTTTATCATCATAAACTTAAAGCTGGTGGTGGGGGGAATGAAGACGAGCCCGATCAAGATTCCATGGTTCCGTCGTCCCGAGCTGTCATGATCTCTGGTCTACTTAGTCAGAGGAGGTAGTCGACCCAACTTGACAAAAAGCATCTTGTCGGCAGCCATGGATTGCTTCGTCCAAAAATACCTTGTAGACCTGGGTTGATATTTGTCTAAGGGGATATAGCTGAATCCACCTTAGCTAATAGAGGGCTTGATGCCTATCGAATATACCCTATGATTCATAACTCAAGGGTTTGAAGCCTTTAGGGAACATACGGGCTTTGGCCGTGATCGTAATATAATGGTGTCATTTTGCGGCAAAACCACCCTATCAGAGGGCACGTGCCACGTCCCTATTGGCAAGAGACTGTTTGGGGATGAACCTTAGTGATACACCCGACACACATTTGCTCTTTCTGAGCTGAGGTTAATTTCAAATTTATCACCCCCGACAAACGATTTCGGATGGTGGATGATTTTTTTTTTTAGTTTTGAGTTTTTGGCAGATAGATTTTATTTCAAGAATTTGTGCTTTTGTTAGATTTCAAATTTGACATTTGAGATTTGAAATTTGACCCCTCCGGTTGAGATTTTCGATCAACACGGCCATCATCGGGGTGACATTAAAGTACTTGTATTTTTGTAGGATTTTTGGTTGTGCCTTCTTTATTCATGCTTTCTGATCATCAGACAAGCTTTCTTCTTATGTCATACACTCATACGATGCAAATTTCTTTAGTAATCTCACTCATGAAAAGAATATCCTTATTATGATCATATTCCCTGACAATTATATGCTTCAATCGATCTTACATTTCATAAGATCACTCTTTTTTCCTCTCCTTCCTCATCCTAGAGACCTTTTAATTTCCTGTTTATTTTCCTCTGGAAGCACCTCTTCCTACATTGCCCTGCTACTAGTTTTCTTTAATGGTTGTTTAAGGAGCTGCAAAATTTCTTCTATCCAAGTAAATAGAATCTGGTTACCCTCTTTCTGGGGTTAAGTCAATTACTTGTTGATAGGCCCTCACAATTAAATTTTATCCTAACGATTCCATTGATTGATACGAAGCTTGGCGGGTTATCAAAATATTCACTCAAGTCTATGATATAGACTACTTTCATACCTTCTCCCCTAGTGCAATCATCAACAAAAATAGCATAATACTGAAAACCTTGCGTAGACACATAAGGCGCAGGTCCCCAAATGTCCGAATGTAAAAGTTCTAAAGGATATTTCTTGCGGGTAACAGAAGTCTCAAAAGACAGTTTATGAGCTTTAGAGATATTACATTGCATACAAGAATTTGTAAAATCTATATGTAAATGCGGATTTGACGAAGCAAGAAATTGTAAAGTATTTTTATTAGGATGGTGTTGACCTCGATTTTTATTTGAATGCCCTCGAGAGCCTTTGATCGATTTAATTAAGGCTTGACCATCGACCAATGATGAACTCTATCATAAATGGATATAAGTTAAGTCTTCTTTTATGGAAATCTTCAAAAATCCATTTATATAGAAACCTCTCGGGTATGTTTAATTATGAAGGCTATTTATGACCTATACAAAGTCCATGGGCAAATTTTGCGAGACCTTGCTGAAATTGACCGTTATAGTAGCATCACAGATTATTCTACCTCTGGTCCTCTGTCAAGCATGCTATCCAAGCTCTACCATAATTTTTAGTTATGCTAATAATATTCTACTTATCGGAAATGATCCTAACAATATCCTTAAAGTAAAATACTACCTGCAAAATTATTTTAGCACCAAAGATCTAGACCTACCAAAGTATTTTCTTAGAAAAGAATTTCGTTATGATAAAAAAAAACACATCACTATCTCATCGACAATTCACTACTGATCTCTAAACTTATTGAGTGCAAGCCAACTTATACCTCTATGGAGATTCATACCATATATGGTAACAAAGAACTACTAGATGACCGATCACAATATCAAAAACTGGTTGATTTTTCTGATTGCTACTAAGCTTGTCATCTGATTCATTGCTGGAATTGTTAGTCAACACATGCAAATATTGAAACAGAAGCATTTAGAAGTTGATGAGTGAATTCTCAGGTATATCCAAAAAATTCTAGAAATGAATTATATACTAAAACTGAACACTTAAATTTTGAAGTATACTCTGATGTTGAATTTGATGGCCTTGTTGAAGACATGAAATCTACTTGATATGTTATCAAAAAATTATGTTGATCGGGCATGAATCTCAATGCAAAATCAAGTTGAAAACTTCCAAAATTAAAATTGGGACCATCCAAACTCCGATTTCAGCAAACTTACAATCGAACTGAAAGTTTCAGAAATACGAACCCAACAACACCAAATTCGACTCAATCCGAGTCCAAATCAAGGACCCGGAGCGCTGTTGGAAGGTTCGAACCACAATTTGGAGTACCAAACAGTTTCCAAACATAACATGCTTATAGTCGAATCGAGCGGCTCGACGAGACGAATCCAACGAGCCCAAGATCTCCAAATTCCGACATCATTAAGACCTTCAAATGCCTGACGAACGGTCCATGATCAAGGGATTCAATATTGGTCATCCATCCGACCACTCCCCCCTTTACCCTTGATCTTTCACCTATTTACGGGCCATGCCACTCCATAAATCTATAAATAGACCCCTCATTTCTCTTGAAAGGAGAGATCGAAGCAAGAAGAGAAGGAAGAAGCTCCTCCTCGACCACCACCGGAGTTTCGCCGGACCACCACTTGAGGCCCTCATCTCCGCCGGACCACCGCCGGACCACCGCCTGACGTCGTTGCTCCGCCGGACCACCACCTGAGGCCCTGAGCTCCGTCGGACCACAACCTGAGGTCCTCTCCTCCGCCGGACCACTACTTGACGCCCAGAGTTCTACCGGAGTACCGCCTTACAACTAAGGTCTTTCAGACCCTGGTCTCCTGCCAACTACGGTCTTTCAAACCCTGTCTCGTGCCGACTATGGCCCTTCCAACCAAACAAATATGTCTATATTGATTATTGTAACTCCCAACATGTAATGCATTCTATATGATGTACATTTGTACCGTCAAGCTAAGGCCTTCTCCCTAGGAAGGGCCTCATTTATAATCGACTGCAAATACTAATGGATTCATTCAAACTGGGCCAGGCACCGTGATTTTTTCCCCTTTTCAGGGGTTTCAACATAAAAACTCTGGTGTCTATTATGAACGCTACACTCTCTCTCTTATCTGCTTGTGTGTTGGATCTTCGTACAATACTAAGACGTTAAACTATATATTTCTCTACTGCTACGAATATTCCAGGACGCAACACTACTATATGAATTTTCTTTTACTAGTGACCTAGTCACTTAAAAAGTAAAAAATGGATTATTGTGGTCATGTCTGGTGTTGAGGGTGAATACAGAAATATGACACATTCCACATGTGAAATGATGCAGGTAGAAACTTTTTAGGAGAATTTGTTTCTCCAATTACTCAGCCTATGTTGTTATTCTGTGACAACTACATCACTATGCACACTGCCATTAACCTTATCTTCCATGAATGAACTGAGTATATTGAAGCTTATTATCATTTCATATAGATACAATGTTCTACTCCTTATATTTCAGTTCTAAATAGTTGGCATATATCTTCACCGAGGCATTAAGAAATCTACCACTTTCTCTTCAGGCCTCAAGAAATCTACCACTTGCTAACAGTATCTCCAACTTAAGGATTTTTTTTTCTAAATTCTGATTTGAGTTACTAAGAAGTATGAATAGGCAAAGGAGAATACAGAAAAGAACTTAAGGAATTTAAAATAATTCGGCTTTATAACCTACATCCATTGTGTAATTATTGAGAGAAATTTCTTATTACTCTATGAATGAGTACCACATTA